TCCAATCTGGAAGAAGATATTCCAGCATGTGAAGAGGTCAAGATTTCCCATACCCTCATCCTTATTTTTGTCCATCTGTTGTGTCAACATTCCGAAGGTAAAAAGTATTCAAACATTCTTCAAATGACCTGAAAGTTCTGGGATTTAGGGCTGCTGGCTACTAGAAATAAAGACTTTATTTCTTGGAATGATTTTTCCCCGGAGAATAATCACTTCCCAGTAATAAAATAAGGGATTAAAGCTGTGACTGCTTAAAATTATGACTAGTCATATAGATAGAGCACTGCCAGGTTTAACACAAAGGAATATTCTTTTGGAGGGAACTATAAAACAATTCCTTCAGTTTAAAACTTAAGCCACCTTTTAATTTGCTTCACATTTGGACCCTAAACTTCCTATATGATCCTTTATTGTTTCCTGGACTTTCTCATTGCCTTTCCTCCCCTCCCCCACATGATTTGTAATTATTATAGCCTCAAATGTCCCCCAATTCTCTACCATACTATCTCTTCTATCAAATCTCCTTTTCTACTGGGCCTTCCTATCTAAAGCTGTTCTCTTGCTACAGTCTAGTTACTCTCTATGCCTGTTGCACCATTGAGATCCTGGGACTTCTGGGTTGGATCCAAACTTTTGCTTAATCTCATGGCTTTTTCTTTCTTAATTTAGTTCTACTCTCTTTACTCTGTTTTACTGGAATACTTGCTCAAGATGCTTTCTAACACATTTTGCATGAGAGAAAAACTTCCCGTGTAGATATGTACATATTCATACAATATTTTAATAACAGTATTGCAGTAAAATGAGATATTTTTCCCCTCTGGATATTAAAAATGCAATTCTTGGAAAAAATACAGAGTTTTACTTTTTAAATTTCATTCATTTTGATGATCTCTTCAAAGGACTTTTTACTTGCTTCCAATATATAAGTTTAGAGCTTTGATTTAATGAGTCATAACTGTTATAATGGTGGTATAGTATATAAAGGTCTGTAGGGCAGGTATACCAACTCTCTTTAGCTAGCAAATACCATGTGTAAATCAAATCCCGCAGAGCTTTCAATCTGTTTTGCATTCAATTTTTATGAGAAATGGTAAATGACCAGAACCAAAATTACAATCCACTAGTGTCAGGAACTTATTTATTTATTTTTTTTGGCACCTCACTGGTTTGGGGATCTGAACCCTTGACCTTGGTGTTATAACACTGTATTCTAACCAACTGAGCCCACTGGCCTGCCCAGGACTTAGTTTTTAAATTTCACTTTCAGAATCTGTCCTGAGGCCTATTTATAGCCAACATAATCTCTTACACAGTTTTATTTACATCTGACAGCTCTAGACAATGGTAATTGATGTAGGTATTTATGATTATTTGCTTAGGTGCAAAGAAAAGAAACCTATTCCAGTCACCTTCAGAAAGATATGGTTTCTTGTAAGGATGCTGATGAAAGGGAACTGATCTTGGAGGGGTCAGGCTCTGAGGCAGTTCTGGGGGCCCGTCTTTTTTTTTGAGTCTTGGTTTCTTTCTGAGCTCAGTTCTTCTCTGTCACTCAGTGTCCCTTGACTCTCCTAGTTTTCTTCCCTTTCATAATTTTCACTTGCAAGTGACTTCAACTTATCCTGGACCCAATGAAATCCTATGTGGCATTCTTGATCCCACTGTCAACTCATTTCCTTAGTCTCCTGAGTCTCCATTGAACACAGAGGAAGTTGACTGACCCTGTTCCTTTTGGGACTAGGTCCTGAGTACCTGGCCAGCCAATGGATTATTTGTCCTTGGGTCAAGTGTCTACTTCTGATCCAATCAACTGTGGCCTGGGTTTTGGGTGGGGACATGTAGAAAGGAACCTGATTGCTTAGGCAATAGGACAGATTCTCCTAGAAGGGGGGTGTGGTGGGCAAATCAGATAATGATCGACATCTTTAATATAAGCACCCTAAGGTATGTTTCAGGATTCTGAATTATTGTCATCTCATACCCATGCACGAACACACATACATCATTATATTCTTATACTGTAGTTAACTAAGTAGCAATGCTCATTAGCATAGTTTAGGAGAAATTTTCAGCAAGAATTAAAAGATGGCTTTCCTGACACCATTTTTCCTGGTTCCCCTTTTACCTCTCTGATTATTCCTTCTCAGTCATTTTTGTGGAGTTTTGTTCCTCTGCCTACCTTGTTAACCATCCGTCTTATCCAGAGGTTCTGCCATCAGCTATACAAACTCTCCTTGAGGTATCTTAAGCACTCTTGTACATTTCTTTCTTTTTTTTATTTTTAAAAAACATGACCAGTAGGAGGATCTTAACCCTTAGCTTGGTGTTGTCAGCACCACACTTAGCCAGTGAGCCAACCGGCCATCCCTACGTAGGATCCGAACCCGTGGCCTTGGTACTATCAGCACCACACTCTCCCGAGTGAGCCACGAGCTGGCCCTCACTCTTGTACATTTCTATTGAATAAATGAATGAATGATGACTCTTAAATCTTTATCTTAAGTTCTGACATTCTTTCATTTCAAATATTATCCAAATGTCTGCTAAGATGTCTTACAGGTACCTTAAGTTTATAAGTGAACTCAAATTTTCCTCTTTTTTTTCCCCACTTGCCTCCTCTGCCTTCCACACCTGTCCTTCCTCCATCCCTATTCCCCACACACAGGCTGATGGTGCTATCAACTTTCCAGTCTCCCAAGCCTATCTAATGTATTATCAAGTCCCAGCCTATTCTGCTTCCTAAATATTTATAGAATCTGTTTTCACCATTCCATCCCTGTTAGTACTGCTTTAGTTCAGGCTCTATTCCAAGGCTAAGAGCATGGGCCTTGCAGCCAGACAGACATGGGTTTAAATCCTGGCTGCCACCTTCACTTGCTTTCAAACCCTAGGCAAGTTACGCAGCCATTCTAAACCATCAATCCTCAAACTTGGCTGCACACGGGAACCACCTGGAGAACTTTAAAAAGATACTGATGCTTTTTCCAACTCCAAGGATTCTCATTTCATTAGAATGGAGCAAGGGCTAAGCATTAGGAGTTTTAAAAGAATCCCCTTGCGGGCCGAGCCCGTGGCACACTCGAGAGAGTGCGGTGCTGGGAGCGCAGCAGCGCTCCTGCTGTGGGTTCGGATCCTATATAGGGATGACCGGTGCGCTCACAGCGCTCACTGGCTGAGCGCGGTGCAGCTGGTCTCAAAAAGGACAAAAAAAAAAAAAAAAAAAAAAAAAAAAACCCCCTTGGGGGA